GTCACCTTCCTGGCTGGGGATTGAACTCATGCTGCAGTGGCTTTGGATAGCTTCATAGTGCTGTGCTTTAACCCATTGTGCTACCAGGGAGGGCCCGAAAAGAGGATTAGTTCTACCAGATAAACAAACACAAAAATGGGAGTTGAGGTCAATCTCTCTCCCTTATAGCAATAGTCTTAGATAGTCTTCCTTGCTGTACACACACACACACACTCTCTCTCTCTCTCTCTCTCTCTGTTGGACCAGCATGTGTAAAGACAGCTATGCAGCAGATTGCAAAGGCCAGAAATGTGTCCAGGATATGAGGCATCTGAATGCTTGTATATGACATAGTTTCATTTCAGATAACAGAGGAAATGACCTTTTAAAAATAGTTGTGATGGAATCACAGATATTTGGGGAAAGGTGAACTTCGATACATAAGTTAATAAAACCAAACAATATTAGAAAACATGGGTGAATTCTTTATGATTGGTTGGCAGAAAATCTAATATTACACATTTAGATAGAATAGTGCTTATCAAAAAAACTAGCAACAACAAATGTTGGTGAGGATATGGTGAAAAAGGATCTCCCTTACACTGCTGTGGGGATGCAAACTAGTACAACCACTATGGAAAGCTGTGTGGTGGTTTCTCAGACTACTAAACATGGAGCTTCCATATAACCCAGCAATTCCACTCCTAGGTATCTACCCAAAGGGCACAAAAATATTAATTCAAAAGGGTACCTGCACTCCTATGTTTATTACAGCACTATTTATAATAGGTAAAGCCTGGAATCAATCCAAATGTCCCCAAATAGATGACTGGATCAAGATGTAGTACATATACACAATGGAATACTACTCATCAATCAAAAAATTCGCAGCAACATGGATGGTGCTGGAAGGGAATTATGCATAGTGAAATAAATCAGAAGGAAAGTGAAAAATATCAGATAGTGGGCCCTCCCTGATGAATCAATGGGTTAAAGTGCAGCACTATGAAGTGATCAGCAGCCACTGCAACATGAGTTCAATCCCCAGCCAGGGAGGTGACACAGCAAACATGTGGCACAGCAAACCTATCCTGTCTCACCCGCTGCTCCCCTTAGCACTGTGTTTCAGTATATTTGCCTGTTCTGCTTCCCACCTTGTCCCTGGTGAAGCCCCTCATCCCTTGCACCTTGAGCCTGTACCCCAGCTCTTGTATGCACAAATAAATAAATTTTAACAGAATATATCAGGTGGTTTCACTTATAGGTAGAATATAGAGGAACCAAATGAGACATCAGGGGAAAAGTAATACAAAACACAATAAAACAGAAAAACAGACCATTATAAACCAGAGCTAGCTTACAGGGGAGAGGGAGGGGAAGAGAGAGGAGTAGAAAGTAGAGGGAGGAGCACAGGGGACTGTAGTGATTGATGGCGTGGGCTGAATTAGGGCAGGAAATTCTATGGGGCCTATGCCTGAGGGGGGGAAGTAAACATTGTTTAAAAATGAACAATGATGTAGATGACTGGATTAGAAAGATGTGGTACATATATACAATGGAATATTACTCAGCAACCA